TCTTTTCCATCAGTACATGTCCGCAAGTTCGAGTTTCAGCATTCCTGACACATTGCCTTGTGCTGTTGCCCGTGAGTAAGACAAGCTTTCCTCAAATCCCATCTCTTTAGCAGTTCTGCACCCCAGTACCAAACATTTATGGAGGTAAGGGAATGAAAAATAAAGGATTTGCTACAGCCCAATCAAGCTCTTTTCTTCACAGATCGACAGTAGTGCATTATGAAAGTGAGATGCTAAGCCTGCCTTCTGCACTACTAACTCCCCCCAGCACTTTCTGCTCTTTCAAACATCCTGCAGGGAAGATTTCCAACACTGAGTTGTGCATAACTCCGCCTCTGACCCTTCCTGTCCGGGACTGAGCAATAGGCTTTGTCTCATTAATTCAGTGGTTTTTAGGAAACTACTTTTTCCTGCCAGTTTTGAAACCCAGAGGAATTTTCTAGATGCGCAGTGACAACTCATGAGTAATAGCTGCCCCATTAACTACCACGGAGTCATAAAACATAACAAATTATTCAGCTTCCCAGTGTTTTTCCGATCGGCTTTCCCTTTCCAAGCCCTGTAGTGCTCACAAACATTCCAACTATCTAAGTGACGTCATTTATAGTCAGAATCCTTAAAAGAAACAACATGCCCAGGTTGCTCAATCCTTTGGTATTCTTGCCGCCATTTTTTTTCGCCCTAGGGCACTTTTAAGTTGTTTTCCCTTTTTATTTAAGTTTTGCCTACATGAAGCGTATGTGTCCCATGCCCACGGTCAAAAAGCAATGTGGGGAGCTGTCAAGATGTGAAAGACAAGAATAAACCTGCTCTCCCACAGCTCTGTATCTGCCACCACAACATCCACGCTTGCTTTTTCTCCAGCACTTGGAAAATATTCCTTGGTTGGGAAAAGAGAGACTGTCTGAACTCAGGATACAGTTTTGCTCCTCATTCACCTCTGGGCAGTCCAGTGTTAAGAAATCTCCCTGCATCTCTTCTAGACAGGGTGACGCTGTTTCTGAATTGCCTTTAGTCAGTAGGTAGAAGCAGCTCATCCATTCCCTTCCAGAATCTGGGAGTCAAAAAGAACAGTCCGATGATTTAAGAAATACCCTGTAAGCTACAATTTCTGCAACAATTTGTGAGAACGAGGGACAAGACTCAACATCCTGCCTTTCTGTCCACTACGATGATCACCTTGTGCTGATACACACAGGTCCCCAACATGGTACCCACCATTTCAGAAACTACATCCTATCAGGTTCTGTCTGAATGCACCTTCAGCAGGCAGAGTACCTCACATGATAACTCAGATTTGGAAAAAGCAGATAGAGCTGTAGATGTCCCTGTTCACTGTAGGGGAGTTGGACTAGATGGCCTTTAAAGTTCCCTTCCAACTCAAATGATTCTACCATTTTAGGAAAGTGAAGATGCCTTCCATACCTTTTACAAAATGGAGATAAAGTAACATAAGATAACAAACTCAATTCTGTCTGGGAGATGAAAAAATTTAACAGTATTTCTATTTTGCACTTATTTTGACAAAACTGAAGAAGTCTTAACAAAATGTCACGATTCTGTGATTTCAGCATAAACCTTTGAGGTGCAGTTGTTAACCCCGTGCTACAGATGGCAAAAAGGAGGACAGAATCAAGTTGGTGTAAGGTGACCAGAGCTCAGTGCTCTAACTGAAACGTGTGTCCTTCTTCCTTCAGGAAAACTTCTGCTCCTGGTGCCCAAGTGAAATCTTGGATGCCACAGAATAAAAACCTTTTTAGCAACCCTAATGTCTCAAATTGCTGCAGACCTGGAACCTGTCTTATAACGAGCAGCAGAAAGCAAAGGAATGAGATGAAGCGGGCAATCCAGGCTGTGTTTCACAATGCTAAATTTAGCTAAGCAGTGATGATATCCAATGAATGTAACTCACTGAATTTACAGATTTCTCCAGGCCATTGTCAGAAAACTAAACAGTGGAACACTTATTTCTTTGCAGAGAGACCCGCTGGCACCTTGCTCTTTGTCTCCAAGTCAGTAGCTTTGGTACCAAGATCAGCAACTTTGAATAAACATCTGTGACAGAAAAGAAGCACAGTGATCAAAGTCAGCAAGAGTTTGCTTGAGCAATAACTGAGCAAAGATGCCAGCCCAGGAGTTCAGGAGACTCACTGATAATGATCTCACTTGGAGTTTGGTGTTAAAAGTCAACGGTTGTGAAAATTTGACTTTATGCATTGCTGTACACCAGGCAACACAGATGGGATCAACTTGCCAGCCGAGCTTGTCATAGCTTTTTTATGAAAGAGTATGGAAGTATTGATGAGAAATGGGGATTTTCAGCAAGGCTGAGATATACAGCAGACAAAGAGGCAGACTGCGTTGGATTAACCGAAATGGATTTGTAAAGTTTCAGGTGTTTAGAGACTGCTCATGTAAGATGAAACAAAAAAACGGTGTATGAAATGAAGAACTCCGAAAAACAAAAGAAGCACTCCTGCTCATCCTTTTCCTAATGTAAGGTAACGTAAAACAAACTAAAATTATGTTAATATTTAGCTACTTATAATACAATCTCAACTGAACACTGGTCTTAATGCACTGCGAGCAGCGATGTGCACAAACACAGAACTCCCACTGCCCTGCATGCTTTACAGCCTGGAGAGTGGGGGAATACTCAGCACATTTGTAAGCACAGGTCAATACCACAAGAACACCAGAGGCAAGATCTTCTAAGGCTTCACAAATCAGGCCTCTGGGTAAATAACGAAAAACATTCAACAGCATTAATTTGAGTGAAAAAACAAGGCACACGATTCCTCAAACCTTTGCAACTATCCTTTCACAAGAACTTCATAACCTCTCCCCAGATCTTTCATACTTGCTGCTGTTAGAGATGTTGTCAAGCAGACAGGCCGACCACACATCTAGAATCCTCTACTGTTCCCGTGCTCCTCTGACATAATTCAGCTCTGTCATTTAAGCTGAACATTTCAGAAACAAGAAAGCTACTGAAACTGAGTTTGGAAAGTGTTTCCAAAGCTGCAGGGACCATCAGGCCAGCTGACAGCTCCTCATTAAGAAAAGCAAAAAGAAACAAAAGAACAACATCTTTTCCAGGCGGTGAATGACACTAGCATGAGACTGACAACTTTTGGAATGAGGTCACCTCCGTTTCCCTTCAGAAATGAAGCTACCAAGTACAATTAACAATAATTAAAAACTCCTTTCACAAAAGGACACTATACTTTTATTATCCCTGTTGAAACCTAATCAAAAACATCACAATGGGCTTGTTGATTTTTTTTCCCTTTAAATCAAGGCTGACAGGAAAGAGAAAGAAATTGGCAATTAAAAACAGAAGCCCAATTTTCTTAGGTGCTGCAGTGTTTTGGCTCAAAATTTATGTTCTCCTCTACTCCCAGAGAAGAACAATTCACTATTTACTACCACAATATGATAAAACACAACCAAAAATTCGAATTAAAAATAATTTAAAAAGCTTAATGGGGAAATATGTGATCTTGATAATCAAATTTGGAGGTTAGAATGTGATTGCCTTTAACGTCCTTTCCAACTCATGCCATTCTATGATGATTTGATGAATTTATATGGAAAATGTAAGCACTAAGTGTTATCACACTCGTTAAGAGTTTACTGGCCCCAGGCCTAATGATGTTCTACATCAGATTCCAGATGCATTAAAAAATGCTGACGTTTCTTTGCATTCCAATTCACTGTCACAAGTTCTGAGATGTTCACTGCAAAGATGTGAAAGTGTTTTTAACTTTTCCACTATTCCTTATTCATATTTGTTTCCTCTTACGCGTGGATGAAATTTAACACAGGAAACTCTCAGTAGAGACCCAGCAACACAGCAGCACCTGTAGAGCAGTGCTGCTCCCCTCAGGATACTCAGAACTAAAATTATTTGCCTAATAGTACCTATGCCTCCTGTCACGGTCAGGTGCTGTACTTGGCCTGCAGCTAACATTCCACAACACTGGGATACTCCCAAAAAACTCATGATGTACCTGCCAGCCCCATGGGAACGTCCCATGAGCTGTCTCAGAAGCATCACTCACGTGCCAGCAACTGAACCCTGTACACTCGTAAACAGGTATGGGCACATGTACGAAGTTATTTTGCCTTTGTACCAGTGCCAAATGCCACCCATGTAGTCTGCCGCACATCCATAGTGTTATGAGAACTAGAAAAAGGAATAAAGCCTTTAGAAGGCTTCTGACTGTGACTGTGGACACAAGAAGTTGCACCGTTCTTTATCAAGAAAGATATTTCAATGTTAAGGTCTCCACCTGCAGGCAGGCAAAATTGCCAGCTTGAATTCACCGAGCAGAGCTTTAAGGTGCAGATCAGACACTGGCAAGTGGCTTTGCCCGGAAAAGAGCCCTTACACTTCCAGAACACGATTCATTCTGAAAGATTTATTGCTGTAACCCCAAAGCGACCCTGTGCCACACAGTACAACGCTACGCACCTGAGCACTGCCCACGGCCGTGGCAGGGGCTCTCAGGGCCATCCATCCTCCTGCCTGGAATGCTGCTGTCTCATCTGCTCGCACCAAGCCCACTGCAGAGATGGTGCTAAGGCTGGGGAAAGGGAAATGACAGGGTTAAGCAGCAAGCATGTAGGATATGGGTGAGGAGAAGACCACCTGCACACAAGCCACGTGCCGGTGGACAGGAGAGCTGCCAGCCAGCAGCCAAGAATAGCGGCAAGCAGGCAGATGGAAAGGAAACACATGCTCTTAAGCAAGAGGTCAAGGCAGTCTGAACTCATCAGCGCTTAAATACAGTCTTGCAGGGACTGAATGCTGCAAATCCCCACTGGTATCAAGGGGAAGGTGGAAGGCTGACGACCACACAGACCAAGGATGTTACAACAGGAGCAGATAACTCTGCTGCTGCTGTTTCACATACATATATTTACAGCTGAGCTGACTGTAAACAGGGAAGTCACGTGGCATCCGGATTGTCACGCAGTGACTTCCTTAGTGTCACGCAGCCTTAGAACACTGCCTTCAGCGTCTGTCAGACCAGAAGGCTCTGCAAAAATGGGAGCCTTTAAGCAACTCCTATCAACAACGCCCATCTCAGCCATCTTCCATGACTCAGGAATCTGTTTCTGGATGGCAGCGTCTATTTTCCGCTTTAGTTCCCAGCAGGGTATGTAACAGAAATGAATCTGAATGCTGACACAGGGAGTAGATTGATTGCAGTATTTTATTTTTTTGGACCAGGTCCCAATTTTAGTCTGATCTGGTTCTCAGATAGGAGGTTGTACATTGTCATGTACTTTGTAAAAGCAGTTGCTACACTGATCTGACAAGATATGCAAGGCTGTGCATCTGCGGCTCAGAAAGGCAGATCACTGCGCACAGCAGATGCATCAAATTTTCTCAGAATAATGAACTAGAGATTTACTAAAAGGAATATGGAAATAATTTTATGGGCTTCTTCCAAACACAGAGATATAAATACAGGTCAAATTTGCAGAGCATATTCATATAAGCACAGTTGTGTTTTAAAAGCAATTTTTAAAGAAAATATTTTATAATGTTACTACTAAGCCTGGGAGACAGCAGATCCAGACAATTTTTCTTGTACTATTATGCACACTACATTCTGGAAAAAAAAAAAAATTAATTCAACTTTCAACCAATTATCCACATGACAGATGAAATTCTCCTATTTCCCAGTATCCAGAAGGTGTCACCATGAGCTGGAATGAAGCACAAAGGTGCTGTCTGCTGCTGAGCGCTTTGAAAACCTTATCATTTAGAGCTACATGCTCATAATGGCAATTCATTATGCAGTACATGTGAGCAACAGAAGAAAATGCATCTGAGACACACAAGCACACAACCACTTTCCTTCCTATGGCAAAATCAGTTATTCCAACTTGTGCTTGCAGCATGTACAGCTGCTTTATTTTATCTTTTTGCCACAATACCTCAGTTACAGATTCTGAGACTGGAAAGGTTAATCTCCTCTTATTCCATATTATAGTTATTCCACTCCTTGACACAATTTCACTAACTTTATCCAAGTTAAGAAGGTTGCCTTCTTATTATAAAGGGCTGTGTGAGAGTTACTGTACGCACATTTTAATGGGTGTACCACTTAAGATACCATTTCTGACAGAATCTCAAACCTTGGGATGTAGCCATGATTTGGACTGTTTGTGTGCCTTCAGATCAGATTCCTGAAGCTTGCAGCATCTCCTGAGCCACCAGAGAATTGCCATCTCTTACTCCGTGCTAGCTGGTAAGCATTTCTTCTAGTGAAGGAACTGTATGGTTTTTTTTAAGCAGACAAATCCTTCTCTGACAAATGGACTGGTTCTACTGGACCAAGCAAGACAGAGAAATGGTGAAATCCTATGTCTGCCAATAAAAAATAAGCTGCTGTGAACAATCTTTCAGACCACAGCTGTAACCTAAGAAGCCCACATTGCTGGAGTGTCCATCCATGAAACACAGCAACACATAACAGGGAGCCATGAACCCTAATGCAGAGTGTGACAGGTCTTCCAGGGAGAAAGCTCTACAAAGACATTATTATTATTATTACACACCCCTATTTTTAATATTAGGAAAATAAGATACCCCTTGCTAGTAGTTACAGTCTTGAAGCAGCAAACACAACTGGAACACATGACTGACCATAGGCAGAAAAAAAAGAAGAAATTCAGAGCATCATAAGGGATGGGATGAGTGACTTTGTCAAATTTTTTTTCTCAAAACCACCCTCCATGCCCTACTCCCATTTCAGCATTTTAAGCAGCTTCAGCCAGCTAAAAATATTCTTACTTCTTGTTTGAGCCGTCTGGCCATTTTCCTACAGACGCTATCTCAGCATTACAGTCAGTACAACTAACAGCATTAGTTACTTTCTTCTTTCTCAGATCAAGTGTTTTCCTTCACTTTTTCCTGAGCACGTCCCTTTAACAAACAGAAAAGGCCCAGTAATGAAAGTATCGAGATGATATCTTCTGAAATAAAATCTGTTTTACAACAGCAGGAAACGATTAAGATAATGCATAGACTTCAGGTAACCTATTCCAGTTTTGTGTTTAAGATGACAGCTTCAAAGGCTCAGAACTCTATGGGGCAGAAGTAAAGTCAAGTAAGCCAAGCCAAAGGGATGTAACAACGCACCTTTTCACCAGGTTGTTCTGAACATTCTCCGTAGCATCTAAAATACGCTGCTTCATCGTACAGTCCCAAACCTTTAAGAAACTGTAAACTTCCTTCCCTGTAGCAGCTTCCTGCAACCGCCCCTTCAGGTAATAAAGGATTAGAATGATCAGAACCGCAGTGTTTATGAAACCTTTTTTCTGCAGCTCTTTCCTCAGTCTAAAAATGAAAGGAGCGGCTATGCTAGAAGAAAAAAAAAAAAAAAAAAAAAAAGAAAGAAAAACAACATAATGAAAAGGAAGCACACACCCATATGGAAAAAAAATGGCAACAGACGAAGCATGCTTATTACAAACGCTTTGTAAGCTTGCCACCGCCAAAAAAACAAACAATTAATTAAACAGAAAAGAAACTTTAAGGTTTTCTTTCCTCTGTACTCTCAGAATCTTACGACAACCTGCGTTTCCAGAGGACACTTGCTGCTCTTACAGTTGTTGTGGTTAGTTATAATATCAAACATAACAGCAAACAAGCTTCTTGTTAGGGCTGCAACTGTCAATATTTTAGCAGCCTCTAAGCAATCCCGCTGATGGCAGTAAGAGGGGGATTTTCACCCTAGCAATTCAATTCCTGCAGTTCCTAAAACACAAAGCACGCGTAAACACTACTGGGATTTGTGCTTATGTAAGTAATGCAAATGTGGGGCTTTGACAGATCTACAACCCAGCAGGCTTGCATTAAACATACCCACACATTCCTCTGCATCTTACTTTGCACAGTTACTACGGCATTTAAACATTAGCAAGAGATTTGAGTTCTTGTACCAGCACAGCATCTGCCTTAGTACAGCAAAATATTTCTGGATTTGACTCAGATAAAAAAGATTAAACAGACTACTGTAGGAGCTTGCGTGACTATACTTACAGCTTTGGAACAGATTTAGATTGCAACAGGTGATGCTTAAGATGAAAAAAAGACTATGGCACAGCAACCTTGTTTGGTACAGCAGGCTGGGTGGTGTGCTAGGCCCTCATCCTGCTGTTACAGCACTCATAAAGCAGAGCAGTCTTCCTCAAGAAGTAGGTTCAGCAAGGTGGAACTCTTTCCTTGCCTCGTTACTCGATGCAAAGACCTGCAGGGCCTGGTCTCCAGTAGGGTATTTCAATCCCACACAGTGTGTTAGCTATTCCTCAGCAAACACACACCTTTTTGGCAGTTAAGATAAAGCTGTAACTTTCTGCAAGAGTCATTCAACCCTATTTGGTCTTCAAAAGGACTTGCTTTATTACAACAAATATTGAAAACATGCCACACACAACCCAGTGTACCTTAACGGGACAGTACAGTAATTACCTTCAACAATAGCCTGACTGTATCTGACTAGAAAAGGTCACAGATAGGGTTTAAACTCTGCCATGGTAAATTAAAACCAATTACTGATTAGACATAGTGAACTAATATACCAGATACAGGAAAAAAAAAATCTAATTAAAGTTGTCAGTCACAGTTTGCTAATTATTTAAGAATATTTCATGTTATGCTCATTCAAATGAAATGTTTTCCTAGCGTGGGAAATTCTGCTAGGCTGATGTGTTGAACATCTGTAATTTGAGCACATCATGTTCGTACCTTCAATCTCAGCCTCTCCTTACAGTGAGGCCGAGAGCTAGGACTGCTTCCCTGAGGGAGAGGCAGCTCAGGGTAATTCCAGCACACCTCTGAGTACTTGAAGGGAGGGCACAGAGAGGATGGAGACAGGCTCTGCTCAGTGGTGGCCAACACAGGCCCAGAGGAACAGGCACTGGCCGCCATTTGGAGCCCAAGAGGCTCCTTCTGGACACCAGGCAACACTGCTGTGCTGTGGGGATGACAAAGTCCTGGCACAGAGATCCAGAGGCTGTAGGGTTCCACAGGGACCTCGGAACTTGGCCAGACATGGGGCTCAGCACAGCTCTAGTTTTCCCCCCCCTTGAGCAGGCTTTGGACCAATGGACACAGAGGCCCCTTCCCACCTCCACCATTCTGTGATTCTGTAATATTTGCCAGGTAGCTCTTTCCATCTACAGCTTTAAATCTCTGCAACTACTGGAGATACCACCACAAACGGCAACGCCCCAGACAGACCAAAGCATTTGCTGAGTTCACCTCGCTTCTCTTTCATTTAATTAAGAGTCAAAACCACCATCTACTAATGATCATCTCACATATTGTTGCATGAACATCAACAACTGATGAGTTGTCAGCTGCTCACCAGATGCACAGGCACACTAAGATTGAAGCAGTGGAGCTGGATACAGACTGTTGGAAAGCAAGAGAGGTCTTGGAGCTCTCCTTTCTACCCAAGCACACCATGATGCCTGCAAGCCTTGGGACATCGGTTTTGCCATTCCTTCAGGTATTGTTAGTCGGCCCATGAAATGGCTTCAACTTTTTTGCTACATACCTACCCATCAACTCACCCACTCCTACCTGCTCTCTCACTTGCCAGTCTAATCACTCGCCCACTCACATTTTCTCTTACTCAATCACACTAAGCCATCCATTTACATGTTTCTCATTTATTTCCCCATTTGGTTACACAATCCAATCCCCAAATACCTTCAATCCACTCTCTAATAGTAATTTAACCTCTTATAATATTCCTGTCCTCACCTTTCGCTTCAACATCCCTAGCCTGTATGGAGCTTCTTAGGTGGTTTTAAGGAAAGCAAACAAAAAACTCCTCTCTGAAGTCTTGCAGTGCAATCCTCTCATCATTTGGGGCACTCTGAAATGAAAAAAACAGTTACGGTGCTTTAGAAAATGGAGGTCTGGGGTAAGGCACTGGGGTATGACCAGAGGAACTGTGGTTTGAGTCAGGCCAGCATGGCCATGGGCCAGCTCACACCAACTGGTCTCTCTCCCACAGGGTGACAGCAAGAACAATGCCCATTTGTCCTCCTTATGGTCAGGGAATGTTTGTTTTGGGGGGATGTTGATCAAGCTCTTTGTGGTTAAGACATTGGAAATGTTCAAGCCAACCCTGCTTGAGCACCCAAAGCTTCTCATTGAAAAGACCAAGCGCTGAGAAACAAACAACAAACAAGCAACCTCCAGATCCCACCAAAACGAATGGAACTATGCAAGGAAACAGCAGTTAGAAAGTGGTTTTGAGAAGAATAGAAGACAATGGAGAGTGTGTGTGGGGGGGGGAGGAATAAACATGCAGGCAACTATGATACAACTTCCAGTATTTCTGTCACTAATAGTAGAGTGTCACTTTATTCTTTCTCCCTGTGATGCATTACATGCATAAGCTCACTTCCTCAATGCCACAAAAGAATCACTTTATTTACACTGGCATACCACCCCTACACAAATCCACTTTCATTTCAGAGTAAAAGTGGCCTTTTCAGGTAACTTTAACAGATTCTCAGGTAACACCAGAACAGACCACCCTTATGTTATAATAAAATCAGCTTCTGAGAAATTATACTGTTAGCAACTTGATTGAAAAACAACAACAACTAAGTTTAATAATTATTTTTTTTTCCCCAAATCCTCAAGAACTGAAGGTGCAGCACTTGGGTAAGCGATGCTTTAATATTCAAGAGCACATCATTCTGTTCTGCTCATACTTACAGGCTGTTAGCATCACAGAGCAGAGAATTACTAAAAGATGAGACCACAGACTTGAAATAATGTGATAAAACAAAGAAACGGAAAAATTTAGGCCAAATATCAGGCAAAGAAAAAATGTGCCATCAAGTTTTATGGAAAAGAGTTCCAGAGGGCCAAGTTCTTGGAGTTTCTCTAGCCATAAACCATAGAAGCAAAACTGCAGCAGAAAACATGTCCTGGCAAGACGACGGTCTGAATGATCTAATGCACTTTCCATCTCTTAACATCTATGACTGTGTGGCTCCGCAGGAGTGCTTAGCAGATGGCTGGCCAACTTCAGTACCAGCTCAATCATCTGATAATAATCTAGTATTCAAAGTCTTCAATTGAAAGGATGCCCTCGCATCTGCATACTGCTGTTATATCACACCACGTTCATTCAGCGTTGAGAGTTACACTGCCATCAGAGAGCCCGATGCGAATGGCAGTAATTAGAGATATGTACAGCTCTCCTAAATAGGCAAAACAGAATTTAGTAATTAAAGAGACAATCATCATCTTTCTTGCAAAATGTTCAGGGTCAACTTTTGACAGCAGATTTGATGATAACGAGTTCAACTTTGTCAACATTTACGCATGCAAATAATTTTACTCATACATGCAATGAAGCATTAGCATGACTTGATCTATTCCAAAGGGCATTTTGAATTATACTCCCTTGACTTTTGTGCTCAAAATACCAGATTGCTTCTCAGATCATGTGCTTCGCTGCTTTCAACTTATAAGGTGAACATACACACAGAAAGCTCAGAAACCTATACAGCATGAGCACAACTTTTGTGCTTAATGCGTAAGAAAACTAGATTGTAACAATACAAAAACTCAGAATAAAGATTACTAGAAAAATACAGAAGAAACAAATAAACTCCAAAACAGAAGAGAAGGAAAAAAGGCATATGAAGAGATGATTCTTTACAACATGAATAACTAACTGACTGTGTGTCTGCTAGGATCATAAATCCTTTGCATTGGAAGGGACTTTAAAGGTCATCTAGTCCAACTCCCCTGCAACGAACAGAGACATGCACAGTCAAATCTGTTTGCCTAGGGCCTGATCCAGCCTCGCTTTCGAAGTGTCCTGGGATGGGGTAACAACCACTTAACTGGGCAACCTGTTCCTGTGCCTCACCACCCTGAATGTAGGAGATTTTTTCTTATATCCAACCTGAATCCTCTCTCGACCCTGAAGCCATTCCCCTTTGTTCTATCACTACAATCCCTGCTGAAGAGCCCGTCTCCTTCTTTCCTGCAGCTCCCCTTCAGATACTGACACAGGCTGCTATCAGGTCACCTCACAGCCTTCTCTTCTCCAGGCCGCTCAGCCTCAGCTCCCTCAGCCTGTCCTCATGGAAGAGGAGTTCCATCCCTTGGATCATTCTGGTGTCCCTCCTCTGAATGCACTCCAACAGGTCCACATCTCTCCTGTACTGAGGACTGCACATCTGGATGCAATACTGCAGGCGAGGGCTCATCAGTGCAGAGCAGAGGGGCAGGATCACCTCCCTTATACATACCCCCTGAAACACCTCTGTCCTGAAAGCTTCTTTGGAGGAACTGGTTTGGTGTTTTGTTTTGTGTTTTTTTTTTTTCCTGACCAAAATAAATTCTACCTTGACTCTAATTAGGATGTGGCATTATTTGTGAGATTATAGCCAAGGGCAAATTTTGTGAGGAGCACGAGCTCCAAGAAGAATTTGTGACACTTCTGGAAAAAAAACATTGTGAGTCTGCAGATTCTATGAGTCGCAGGATGTTTATAAATACTATTTCTATACTACTTATTTACATTAATGACTAAAAATTTTAGTATTGGATGGATCCCACCATACAAGAGTTGCACCAACCCCCCTCTCACAGAATCACAGAATTGCACTCAAGCACTTAAGACTCTGAAGAGAAAATGGAAAGGACTACTACCATCACTGATATGGAAAAAAAGTAAATTAAACACTCTGTGTGCAGTGATGCTCAAGTGAAATGCAGACATCTAAAATGCAGATGTCAACAGAAAACAAGGAATACCAAATATCAATACCTGCTTGATTTGGAGATCAAGGCTCCCTAAGCACCTGTAACTGACAAGGTCAGTGCTTAGCTCTTGCTTGAGGTCAACGTGGGAGGTAGGGTTTCCTGATCATGCCAAACTCCACTTAATGCAGGTGTCATGGAAGGGACAATTCCACCTTCTCCTGTGCTTCTGACCACGAGTTGCTGCTACTTCCGCATGAGCAGCCATGCAGCTATGCATTGAATTACATCAGCTTGGACAGTCAAAACCTTATCTTCCCCCCAAAAAGGAAAGAAAAATCTGATTTTCAGTGAGATAAGCAATTGATCCAGCTCAGTCAAAGCCACACGGTCACCAGCACTGACCACGGAAGAAGCCAGCCCTTAAATCTGACATGAGTCTGCACAGCTGTTCAACATGTTCTATACCCTCAGGTCACAAGGCAACACTGACTGCAGGGCATGCAGCTGTCCTCGTCATGGTCATCTAGAAACCTGTACAAAAAAAGATAATATTGTTGCCTTGGAAAAATAATCCAAAGGTGAGGCCTCACCTGGAAAGCTGGGCACTATTCCCTCTGCAGATCCCACTTCCTACAGAGCAGACTTCAGGCAGAGCTTGGGCTGAGGCCACCCTCTGTCCTCCCACTGGAGCTGTGCCAGCACAGGGAGGAATTCAGAATTCACAAAGCCATAAAGAGAAAGCACTGCAGGGCAAATATCACTCCACGAGACTGAGACTCCCAGGAGAAGGGGCAGAACTCTATGCCGTGATCCCTTCTGCAGGAAATGCTCATGCCTAATGCACTGAAGATTAGATAAAAATGTACACACAGCTCCTTTTATATTAAAGCTTGGAAAGATATAACCTATGAGCTATGCAAATACACTGAAGAGCCAAGTGAGAGCTCTGCCCTAACAGGAGAACAGCACATACCTACCTGTATTCTTGGAAATATTTTAATTTTTGGTGGATAAAACTAAATCAAAGAGCAAAGCTGAGATCTTCGCAGTTATGACTCACTTCTGCCAACCTCATGTTTTGGCAACAGAACTGTATATACAGGACCTGTTATAACAGGTCATATGAGAAGTTACAATAGCCGCTTAGGTCCTTAAAGATACAACTGTGGTGCCCAAATTTTGATCAGAAGGGCAAAAAGCCTACCGCTGCAATGTGCCAAGAGCAGGCCAGGTTACCAAGAGATGTGTAAAAGAGGCCAAAAAGCAAGCAGAGCAGTGATTGCTGCACAGGTCTGTTCTGAAACTGCGTGGATGCAAATGGCTTCCATTCATGCCTTGCGCTGCTGGTATGCATACATTTTTATTTGGCTTGATGGATTATTTTTGTTTGAATGTTGGATCACGATTCTAGCAGAACAATACCAGAGGAAGTGCTCTCCTCTGCCAGCCCTAATTTTGAGCTCACCATCCTGGAGGCAAACTTCAGCCACAAACTCTGCGTTTGGATTGCTGCAGGCCATGAAAAACTTAGGAAACCACAATACAGTCAAAATAGCAAAGCCAACCATGCCTCTATACCTTGCCTGCAAACTTTCAGGTGGGAATTCCTCAGAAGTCAGCACAAACGAATGCTATCAAGAGACTGCATGCACCTAAAATGTCAAGCACTGGGGTGCTTTAGTGAAAGAAATCATACTACAGCAAAAGAACCCATACTATGTGTATCCGATTTCAGCTTGTTTCAGTGTTCCCTTACATGCAATTTAAGGCTTGAAAGACATGGCTTACGATAAAGGGTTTCCTGCAGCATCAGGTCTTCCACTTACTAATGTAATAAGCAGTTTTCTGCTTCAGAAGAAGCGCTGCTAAACCAACCTCTGTGTACTGCATTTTTTCAGTCAATATAACCACAGAAAGCGTGGGAGAAAAATAAAGCAATCTCTGCACCACTTATTTTAAATTCTACCTCTTCAATTTAGTGACATTTTAACAAGAAGGAAATAGAGATCATGCAAACACACGTGCAAAAACAAGCAAAACAAAATCAGCAGCATTCGGAATACAAGATCGTATTTCCCATTAATTTTGGGTGTGCACCATCCTCAGCAGTGAGCAGACAGTAAGGGCCTGCTCCCCAAAAGCAGAGGGTTTCAGAGAGCAGCAGTCCTCCTGTCGTACAGGTGGCTACACAACAACCACCTGAGAATCTAAAATTGCTTCTCCTTAAAAGGGTCCTGCCTGTAATTTCTTAGTAAATGAAACCGCTCCAACATGAACCAGAGGAAATTTGATCTGCTGCTTCAATTTACGTTTAACAATTAACAGTTCAAGGGCTATAAACATCCACAACTTCCTTTCTCTCTATCTGAAGTGATAAGAAAACAGGGATTTCTTTTTTTTTTCTTTTAATATACAGTCCCTCCCGAGAGCACTTTGATAAGCTTATTGCTGAACAAACGCTTTCCAGAAGATACGCATTAATTCACAAAAACACTTGGCAGAAAACTACCTTCAAATATTTAATTCACGTAACATTCCCTCTTATTTGTTTTAATTCAAGTGAAATATTTTCCCCCGCCTTTCCCTTTCACGGGCTTTTCACACCCACATAACAACCAAGTGACTCTTCCCTGACCCTGCCTCCCACTCCGTTCAGTACAACTGCTCACTAGAAACTCGCCACGCACGTAAGCTCCTCTCCCGTGGTCCAAAGGAAGCGCTTAAGGAAAGGAAATCCAGCACAATGCCAAACCTGCCCTTCTGTCGTTTTTTGTTGTTTTTTTTTTTTTCCTTTTTATTTAACCGCTGGGTTTGTTCCCAGCTCTGCAGGGAGACGCTGTGCATGCTGCCACTGCAAAAAAGAGGGCAGAATATTTCCCGAGCGCCGTCCTACAACTCACACCTCCGTAGGTTGGGAATGGCGAGACGTCCTCATGTCACCCACCCAGGACAGGAAAGCCACCACTCTGCAATCCTGGCGTTGGACTGTGAGCACACAGCATCAACACTGACTGCGACTGCTGTCTGGAGGAGACGCGGCACCCAGCGAGATTAATTAAATAAGCACTATTCTGCTTTCCCTATCTTCTTATCATCTATGCATGCAGAACAATTTTCTGGAAAGCAAAGAGCTACGGTGTCACATACCAGAAAAACAGCTTCCTCTTTTGAAGGAAAGCACAGTGATAATGCTGATGAAGCACTGAAGGTAAGTTAAACATCGCTATCCTCATTTTATTGACGGGGTAACTAAGGAATAAATCACGACTTGCTCCAGAAGACCCTCCTCCAAACAAAACACCCCCAAAGCAGTGGTAGAGTCACAAACAGATCCAGGGAGCACAACTTCCAGCCACAGCTCCAGCAGCCAACGTGATTCCCTCTAGCCAACAGTACATTAATCATTTTTTTGTTTAGTTGTTTTTTTTTTTTTTTTTTTTTTTAGAAACCACTAATTGATAGCCTTTTTACAGAAGATTTACAAAGCCACTTAAAATATCATTATTTCTATTCTAGGAATATTTCAGGAAAAGTACCACTGGCTTTACTGCATGGTAACACACATCTGATTTTCATACTAAACTCAAAATAAACCGAAGCTTTGTTTGTTCAGCAAAGACAACAGGAAAGCAGCGGAGCAGCAGGGGCTCGGGGATGCTGCGATCCCAAAGCTAGGGCATGGAGGGCTGGCCCATCTCTCTGCTCAGCACCAACACAGCACAGCTTTGTAGGTGGAAGCTGGGAGGGAAAAGCAATTTCAGATTGTATTTTGTCAACCCAATGGCCTAAGCTTGCCCCTTTATTTACAGATTCCTGCACTCCAGCAGATCAGCTAGGATTTTCTGTGAAAGCTGCTCCCGTGAAAAAAACCAACATACCTTGCCATGCTCACAGAGCTGGGAAGAGCTTTCTTTCCATTACATTTAGTAAGATACCATCTGAGCACTAAAAATGAAAAGTATATAAACTTACCACTGCATTATCAGGAAAAGCATCAGAAATCAAGCTTAGGTGTTGCTGAGCAGTCAGCACCTCAGCTCCTTCCTGGCACAAAATCCATGCAGCATGCAGCAGGTACCAGAAGCACCTCTCCTGTGCTAGTCCTACCCGTATGCTCACAGATGTCTTCTGAATCTGCTACCAACAAAAGAAACCACAATAAGACCGTTTCCCTGATTCTTCATAACTGAGTCAGTAGGTCAACAATTCCTTCGGTTTAGGAGCCAAACCAATTCCCTTAAACACCCCCTGTTTTTTTCTCCCTGATGGAGAAGCCAACTGTCTGCTGCCAGTGGCAGCTCAGCTGCTCACAGAACAGAACCAAGCTCCAACAAACCAGCTTGCCCTGGCGCAGACGTTCATCCTGACACAGCTCCATTTTGTCTCTCACGTCTGGGAGAAGCCACGAGCAATTACTTACGTTTTCAAATCGAGCCACAGGCAGGGAAGTGCTCCGCGTGCACCTTGCGTGCTGCCACCAGCTCCTGCAGCCCACATCCTCACTGCCCATGGCAGCACACGGTGGCACGAGGAAGGGAGCATCACCGAATGCCAGACCTGCTCCCGCTCCATCCTTCTCCACACCAACACAGAATATCCTGCCCGTGCCTCTCATGCGCTCAGCTCGAACAAAGAGAAAGCTCGGAAGCTGCTCTCCTTCTTCCCAATCCATGACTCAAATGTCTGGTTGAAATTGGTTTCGTAATAACCCTTTAGTACCACCTACTCACATCACCAAGTGCTTCTTTCAGCAAACGCGCAGGAAATCACCAACGAGTGCCAATGGAGCTACTATTCCAAGAACTCGCTCTTTCGGTTATTCCTCCATCATTTGGGAACCAAGACACTTTTACTTTCCCTATCACACCGGGTATTTTTTTTTTTATAGAAGAGCCTTAAACTGCGATCCCATAAAATACTTGGTTGATAAATCACCAGCTGAAAACTCGCCCACTGTAAAGAAAAGAATTTCACAACACTCATTCCAGAAAACACAGTAACTCCTTTCTGGAAATAATTCACCGGACAAAAATCAAAAGGGCAGAATTAATGTTCGGAGACCGTTTGCATCCTGCACAGCAGACAAAGACGGTGCAGCGAGCCACGTGCCTCAGTGACTGTCAGCAGCAGACCCCTGAATCACCCAACCACACGATGAGTCGCTGTGAATGGTTTCCTCTTCCTCTGCACTCCCCCAGCGGGGCTCGGCGCTGCTGGAGGATCCTGAGCCTAATCCTGACTTTGATGGGGATTCCAAAACTCATCTCCTAAGGCTGCAGTCACCAGCGGACGCCGCAGACATCTGCTCCTCCTGCTTTGAGTCACCTGTCAGCAGTACAAAAGGAAATTGCTTAGCGGTGAGCACGTGGAAGCCCAGTGCTAAAGTGCAGAAATACAAAATACCGGAGCGCTCACATCACCCTCAAGGAAAAGTACTTGGTTCTGAAGCACTGATATTCAAAGAGGTGAAACTTGGTAATAATGAATAGGCGCCAGCAAGCCTTACAGCTCAGCCTGCAGTGCCAGCGTCGTTGAGGCAGCAATGGAAGGGGGAACAAAATAAAAGAAGACATTTCACAAACACTGGACCTGCACTGTGCGTGACAAGAAAAATAATTGAAACAACTGAGAGAACTAATCTGTGGCTGCTTAGGAAGTTAACTCTTCGAAGGAAATGATTAAGTAAGAGAACAAAAGCCAAGTGTTATGTTTATCAAACAAGGAAACCTCACAAATGAGTATGCCTGCTCGTGGCAGCGGGGCCACAGCACTGACAGACCGCACAGGAGCAGCTCCCACCACGCTACATCCCTGAGGTTAGTAAGCAGCTCCTATCTCAAGGAAATACACTTTTTAAGAAATGCAAAGCATTGCTTTGCCAGAACGAAACGCTACAGGAAGGCATCTGCAACGTCCTGTGCCTTTATGAAATTCCCTTCACGCAATTCCTGCTCAGCATAAAACTCACTACGATTTCAGCAAGGAACCCTGGTTAAGCAGGACAGTATTTACAAATTCAGGCCAGAAACGCTCGCTTTTGTGTCGTTCCATCACAAATACAGCGCTCACAAATTCAGCCGTCCAAAACAAGACTCCAACTTTGCAAAAAACAAAACAAAACAAACAGGTGAGCAAAAAAGCAATTAGAGCACATCGCGCTTCGAATCTTCAGGAATTTGATAAAAGGAAATTCATACTAAAGATTTAATTGTCTAACCTGCTTCTGCATGCTGAAGGAGCCAGACCTGGTGCCTCTAGAGGGAGGGCGAGAGGCACTTCTTGTTCCTGTTTCATATTTGAGTTCTTCCCTGCGCGGGAGATGATCTAATTATTCAACACGTCACTATATCGCTTCACCCCTTCTTGCACGTCTACTGACATTAACATATTTTAACAATTCAGCTCATTAGGAAGGAGGGGAGGCACTGAATGACAAATCATCCTTACAAATCCACCACAAAGGCACGAACCTTCCCGTGTTTTGTCCCACACCTAGCTCAAACTCTATGGGAGCACACGACAAATGATGCTGGATGCAAGCTGGCAACAAAGATCAGGCAACACAGCCCCTGTGCTGCTGGTCACAATTACACATACTTGTTCAAAACATGAGCCCCATCCATGAGCTCTGGCCACAGTAAGCAAGCTCTTGCCCGCTTAGGAAGCACAGACCTCCTGGAGCCCATCTTCCCATCGTATTCCCATTGTTCCCAAGCTCGGTGCTCAGCAGGGACTGCCAGGAAGAGGGGCTGTCACACCTCACCTAGAATTGGGCATAGGCAATGAAAGCAAGGGATCAGACCACACAAGGCTGCTGCTGACAGACTTGAAACGGATCTGAAACAATGCTGAAATCCAAATATAACATGCATGGCACCTGTATTTGCATGCGTGGGATGCTGAAGGATTCCAAGGCTTTTTATCAAATGTCCTTGTTACAGCAGAAGCAGAGAGTCACTGGATTCTCAGCTCCTTCTGAATGCAATGATTTCAGAGATGTTCTTCTCTTTCAGACCTCGCCTCGACCTACAACAACACATCCACTCACGACTGGCTGAAGCAGACTTCACAGCATACACTAAACCTACCAGTTCATAGGAAAGTTCTTCAGCAAGTTTCTATATATCAACATTTTTTTGTTTTTTATTACAACTATTTCTATGAGCCCATTCACAGTCGGCTCCTTTACTGCAATCGAACATGATGGATTGGTAGCCAGCTAATGCTTATGTAAGGCCTTCAAGGAAGCAGAAAATTATTTCATATAAAATCAAGCTAGTATAGCAATGGAATTGTACTACTACATATTAAATATTATTAATAAGAGACCTGCCTTGCAGTCAAATGCTACATCCCATTAGTATAGCCAAATAAGTCCTGCCATAAAAGCTAACTGTTCTCAGTCAAAAGAATGATGATAGCTAAGAAGCACCTGCTTTTTTGATTTAAAAACACCACACTTCTTAATAAAAACAAACATGAAGAGGCAGGAAGAGTATATCTTTATGATTTGCATAAGTCTGATTTAACTTTGGTCAAAAACAAAAATAAAGAAAACAATTTTCAAGTGTGTGACGTAAACTTCCCCAACTCAGGTGGTATTTTGTTTTGGTTTTTTTGTATCTTTGCTTTCATTTTATTGCTGGGTGTTTTCTTTTTGTTGGCAAGGTCACGTTTTTTTCCCAGACATTGTTTCCTTCCTCCTAACTCACCCCCTCTAGCAGCAGACCTGACTTGGTCAGCCCAACGATGCACTTGTCTCAATCACAGCCCCAGCTGCCCCCATCATACTCAGGAGCTCAATGCCCTCTTCCTTCAGGAAGGAGCAACAAGAGTACATGCCTGCAGGTACTTAGCCTGCAAACAAAAATGGAAGCTTGTGAATGATGTTTTATAATGGTTTTAGTAAGACACAGAGAACACGAGGGAGTTTGCTTCAGGAAAACAGTTCTGCTGCTTGGGGGCTGGGAGGAAAGCACTGCTCCCTGGAGCGGATGCAGTTGGTGTACACAGTGACACAGCCAACACGGCCAAAGTACCCACTGCACTATCAACAAATCAGTCTCACATGATGAAAACAGGCACTTTCCACAGAACTTCCTGGGTAGCACCGGGGTTTCTCTCTTTAGCTACATCCCATTTTGTACCACGATGCTGCAGCAGCGCAAGGACTAAACCAGATGCAAACTGAACTTCATCCTGTTTAAGGGCCTGTTCCCGTGGGTTCCTGAGATGTGCAGGCTGTGAATTTAAGGCCAGAAACACTGCTGACAGCATGTGTGCACTGGGAACAGACTGGCCCAAGCACTCAGGTGTCGAGATGACTAAGGAGGCAGAGCCCAGCCTCATCTTTCTCAGTGGCGTTCGCCACTGAGCAGCACTCCAATCTTCTTTGGAAGAGATTGCCAAAGAGATGCTGCTCAACTCCAGCTTTGGTTTCTTTTAATCCTCTTCCTGCATTTTATCCAAGGTACCTAAGCAGACCTCAAGTTAGGACAGATGCACTTCCAGCACTTAATACTGGCACTTAATTTGGTTTTCTTCCCACTTGGCTCGCTTGTTATTTTTACACGTTTAACTTCTCTAATTCTTTCTACAAGCATCTTTCAGATTATCTTCAGTTCGCAGTTCCAGTGTTGGAAATCTTTTTTCACATTTGGTCTCACACGCTTTCACGCAAGCACTGTGCACAAATGAGCTGCAGGAGCTGACAGGAGAGGCTCCATTCCAATACTGCAACTTCCAAAACGACAACTTGAGGAGTATGAAGAGAAGCAGAGAATTACTCTCCTGATTTACTCTGGTAGCTACAACAGATGGATCATATAACTCACTGCAAACAGTGTGCTTGCCGTAATAAAGGACACAATGACCTCTAGGTAAAAATCCTAGGAACAGCAAGCACACAAATTTCAACCTGCAAAACTTCAATTCCGTGCCAGGGCTCAAGTTGAAGATAACTGCAAAGACAAACACTCCGGACAGATTAATTCAGACCATAATTCCCTGCACACACGTGCCAAATCATGGTGTAAACCTACTGCCTTTTAACACTCTTCACTGTAAGGACTATTTTCACTGATGAAGTAGGTTTTCAGAGTGATCTCTGAGTCTTCTACAATTTGGCACAGCCTCCTTTAGCACAGAGAAAGTAGTTCAGGTTCAAGCTGCAGTGCAGAATGCCCTAGCATTGATCTACAATGGCAAGGCTTCTCACAACAGAGCTCTGTTGGTGTTCTGTAACCATGCAATGATTCATCACATCATTGTTGTTACCTCCCTTCTCCATCCTTGCTCCCCTCTACCCTCACAAAGGTATTTCAACCCTAAGATTTATTTATATGCTCGGTTCCTCAATGGGAAGGCAACACCAGCATAAAGTTTTCTTGGTATGAAGGTACAGACTTCCTGAGTGTACAAGTACTTTTTATATAATAAGACTACAAAATTCCTTGCTCCTTCTGATTAAGAAGTCCTCAAAGAGCTCAGTTCCACACACTCCAAATACTGATGGGTTGCAAGGACTATAAGTGTTCAACTCTGTCCAGAAGAAATGAATTTTTCAGAAGTAATGAATACAAGAGGGGCGAATTTGTGGAGCGCCCTTTATTTGAAGTGTTGCATTTATACCACTAGATGGCACGTTTGAGGCTCCTGGCATCTGTAAAATGACAGTAGACTTCACTCTGCATCACCATGCTTATCCTGCTATTCTTGCTCTGGATGGAAAAGTACAGGTAAAATGATACCACAGCAGTTGAAGCAGCAAGATAGGTGGGTAACTACATGTAAAAAGGTGCACGAGAGGGCAATGCACACCAGTAAGCTGAGAGCAGGACTGCAGGAGCCCTGAGCTCCAACACCGTGACCTCTGATCCCTGAAACAGTCTTAAGAAACCACTTCATGTCTTGGGAGAATGCATTTGTGGGTTTGGAGAGGGAAGATGGGAAAGGAGGGTCAGAGTTCAACCTTCTAAGACACGATGCCTTGGTTCTCTGCTGTTCTCCTGCCCTGCAGGGCTCACACCGTGAGCTGGGACTCCGTGCAGAGCCGCAATTAGAAGGAATCAACATACACAACATGCTGGCTATCACAAGAATGTATTTATTATGACACGTGCATACTTTAAGACTTCCAAAATAACCAGTAGTTCTCCTGCCTGAAAATCCAAGTAGCTAATATTAATGAAATGCAAGTATTCCTACTATCTCAGAAAGACGGAGCAGACTGAGAGATCCCTAAGCACTCAAAAGGACACAAAAAGAGTTCACAACCTCTCCAACACATCACCAAAAGCATAAACTGATGGGACAGAGAGCTTACAGAGCACAATCTAACAGAAGAAGATTTACCCATGCCACAGAGTTACACCTTCCCTCTGCAAGACCCAGCTTCTCCAGAAAACCAAGCACTCTGCATCCCATGGCGTGGACCTAAGCGCTCCATATCAGATAAGCAAACACACAGCAGCCCACGACCCGCTGAGTCAGCTTCATGGGCAAGTCATCTCCTGTGCTGGATATGCTTTGGTGTGTGCCCAGCTGTGCCCTGGTACCAGCCTTGACATGGATGCCAGCATTTGGCAGCATCCTTTAGGCTTCTTGCTTGTTCTTGCTGCCAGTTTAATTTCACTCAGCCCACTTTAGAAGTGCATGAGCACAAGCATGTATCTGCCACAACCAACATTCCCTCGAAAAAGAACAAGTTAGTTCAGCACCACTGTAACGATTGTGGGCACACAGAGACCGTACTTGTCATGGCATTGCACCCCACATGCCCCATGCAATTTCAATAAAAAGAGGATTAAAAATTCACTATTACCGCTTCAACACTTCACTCAGTCCTTGGAACTGGCAATAACGGCAAGGGGAAAAAAAAAGTCAATTTAAATTTGAGCAGGAAAGAAAATTTGCTGGTAAACCCCAAGGGCAAAGAATACTTCTTGTCCAGATGGAGGAAGCAGCATCGCCTCATCCCATCCAATAAACAACAGCTCACCCTTAGTGCTGTGGCAAAATTAAAAATCCACTTTGTCTTCCTTCTCTATGTAGGATTTAGCTCTGGAAGGATGCCCCAGATTACACAGCTGATGTGCACCGAACTGCCCTCATTACCATCAGTATTAGATAAGAGCCACCACGTGCCCATGAGGCAGCACAGGACAGCTGATGGAGCACCAGCCATCCCTTCTTTCCATCTAGGAGTTCTGCTCTTCCCTCATCCATCAGTTTGGTACTATTTGTGTATTTACATATTCATGCATCCTAGGCAAACTTCTCCCCACAAGCACTTCTGCTTTCATGTTTGCAGACTCTGCCAACACAGCCGCATGCACCAGTAATCTCCTGCAGTAACAGCCCAGCAAGGCCTGTTTTAGACATACAAGCGATCCACAAAACTATGTCAAACATCATGATGCAATAGCTGGCAGCTTGACCTCACCATTCCCCCTGGGCCTGCATTATGGGTGCAGCTCCCATTCCTATGAGGAGACAGTAATGTTTGTAAGCCAACAGTTTTGGGAGACTACAGCAATTTGAGCTCCATTTTCAAAGCCACTGAAAGCAACGGCTGTCCCAAAATGCAGGTTTCCACTGAACAGCACCAAATCTCTTCCCAGTATGCACCCACCATGTTTTGACGGCTTTGAAATGAGAACAGCAAGTGCTTTGATGGGTGGGCTCATTTCTCAGCATAATTACCAACCTCACCGCAAAAAACTTGGCAGTAGATAAAATGGCAGGTATTTATAAATTAAGATTGCAATCCTTGAAAATCTGTTTCACATTTTGTCTAAGCCAGTGAAACAGCCCAATATGCTGTGTTCCAAGAGGAAGAGAGAAGCAGACTTGAAAACTGGTATTAATCTCACTTTGTGTCCGGGTTAGCCACAGGGACCTCCCTAAAGGCCAGTGAAAAGAAACACTTCCAGAACATGATTCATCTGCCCTACTCCACACAGCTACCTTAGGGTGCTCTCCCTTATTAAATGAAGCTGGGAACTTCACAGACCTGCCACACGAGTAACAAAGGAATCAATTTTCAAGTTCTGTTTTAAGCTACCGTAAGAGGTACCTTGAAAAATCAGAGCTTTTTGATAATGACTTACTGCGCAGATTTTTCTCCATCTCCTCTAAGTGGAAAAATACAAGTGTGGTTTCTTACAGTTTTCATTTAACAACTACCCTGCTCAAATTTGCAAATGAAGCTCTGCAGCAGTTGCCTTGGGTATGAGAACTGATGAAGAATTCAGGCCGACACGCAAAGGAAGCGATTGATCTATTTTCACTCTTACTGGGATTAATTGGAAAGTAAACACAGCCAGATAAAGAGCAGAAAGTAGATTTCATCATGCAATGTTCTCCTACTTTAATAAAAGGATGTTTGCTTATAAGGAAGGAAGAATAACCTCGTGGCTAAGGACATGATGTTCATAGTGCACTACCAGCTCTGGACAACATTTCCTGCTTACCTCAGATGCCATCCAGACCGTGTGTGCTACCACAAACTTCAATTTCTGGAGAGGAGATGGTCATGGAAGGAGGTCTTAGGAGCAAGACGAAATGGGCACTGCTGAAGA